CGAGGGGTTTTTTTTTTTTTTTTTTTTTTTCAATTTTTTTGATAAATGACCGACCATTGAACATCGGACTGATTCTCATGTAATTTTTTTCTGATCTTTCAAGAATATTCACTGAAAATAAGTACTTTTTGGAAAAAAGAAATTAAGATGGGTAATTTTGAGACACAAAAATCGAGGTGCTCAATTTCAGTTTCAACGAACAACGATCGTATCGGAGCGATTTTCCTGCCGCGTCTGTCGCGTTCATGCACGTCGATTTAGGGAGCAGAGAAAATGTTGGCAAAAGGCCTTTAAAACCCATTTCAGTCTCACGGCTGTGCTACTTTTATTTCACTGCTTCGATTTTTATCGGAATTCATTTGGCACCTACACTGTTCTTAGTCATTGGATTTTCAGCGATGTTCTCAACAAACAACCCCCCTCCCCTCTTCCCGCGGCCAGACATTCGCTAGCAGGCTTTTAACAATCCTCCATTCTCTTGAGTTATGTGCATCGCCAACCTACCCCAATGCGGCTGAAATACTGATAAAACAGTGCAAATAGAGAATGCAGATCAGCGTCTAAGTTTCCAAGGATGAAGGGGGTTGGGTTTGGGGGAGGGGGTTGATAAAGCGCGAAACCACGTATCTCAATTACAGTGTTTCAAAATCTCTGCTCCTACTTTATTTTTTCAAAGAGAAACAAACGGATTACATTTTGCGATAAGGAACCAATATTTCTGGCTCTTCCATAAAGGCACCTTTCTGCATAGGGAAACCAATGGTATATATGTTGTTTCTAAAATGAGCCAGAAATAGTGGTTCCTCATTGCAAAATGTGGTCCAAGTCATCTAAACAGCTTGAAATTCCTACGGAATATTCTACGAATAGAGAGGAAAAATCCAGGAAATTGTCAAGAAATTAAGTTTGATAGATTTCGAGTGAAAAAATAAAGCAAAACAGGAAGTCTACAGCGTCGCAAGCGGAAATACCTACGTGGTTTCGTACTTTGGCCATCGCTACACTACCGTGCTAAGGAAAAACAACGTATGAACGTTCTGGTGTCGCTAAATTTCTCCCCATAAGAGATTACTGTCTGAAAAAAAATTGTGAATATTCCTCCTTAAATTTTTTTTACATTCTGGCTCAAATTGCGAGTAAATTCTCTGAAAAATTGAAGGGAATACAATCCTAAGTTTCCCTGAAGATTCGCGTTTTACAGAAGGAAATTAGGTAACGCTCGAAGGTAAATACGACGTTTTTTATTTCGGTAGTACGGTACCGTTTTTTTTAGGAGATAAATCCAGCATTTTGGATTTGATCGTCGTCATTACCAACATGAAAAAAACCGAATATTAAATTACGCCGTGACGCTGCCGCAGGGCATTCCGTCTCATTGTAACGGATGTTGGCAATACGTCAAAAACTAAAACGAAATCCAGTCGCAAAAATTCGACGAGAGACAGACGAGACACGTCGCACATGGATCGAATCAATTAGAGAATTCGGACTATTTTGGACGAAAACTGCAAATTTTGGTGTTTATTTCGTCACAGTTTACATTTCAAGGGGTGCTTCATGTAGAAAATTTCGCGAGGAAACCAACAGAGCCACTTTTGGAACCTCAAAGTTTTGTATATACGGAGTTATAAGTGTTTAAGTTTCCAAATTTTGTCCGACTTCTCTAATTGACTTGATCCACTGTGCGTCGACAGCCGGAGCAAGAATTCAGAAATTGGTGTCAAGCGGGAGCCAAAGGATCAGTGGCGTGGCGTGAATGATCGATTATCGATATTTCCTTATTTGAAGCTAGGGTAAATAATCGATTGTTAAGGTGTTCGTTGCGAACACCCTGATTTTCGATTCTTCCCCTCAGGTTTAAATGGCAGATCAATCGATATATCGCAAAGCACGCTACGCCGCTGCGAAGGATGCGAACGAAAACAAGCCGAACGAGCGGTGATTTCGCGAAGGGATAACTCGTTTTGGAGGGAATAATTACCGATAATTGAGATCTTTGCAATGAGGAGCTCCGCATTCCATGGAACTGCCGAAACGCCTCACGTAACGAGAGTAGTCAACTGGCATGGCACTCCGACCCTCCCGGTTCAAGTGGTGCTGAGGACTGTTGCTCTGCCGTAGCTGCTGCTGCTGCTGACTACTGCACGGACCTGGAAAAATACCAAAAATACGCTGAAATTAGTCGGAATAGACAAAACGAACACCGGAAAAAATAGTTCTGTTCACAGTTCCTGCACTTTTTTTGTAACAGATACAGAGGTTGGCAAGTTGACCGAAGTTCTGTTTTCACAACATAAAATTCTATAGGTATAAGAAAGAAAGTGGAAAAAATCAGTTAAAAAAAAAAAAAAAATTAAACCTATGGAAAAGGATCGATAATCAGGGTGTTCGCAACAAACACCTTAATAATCGATTTTGTACCGTAGCTTCAAACGGGGAAATATCGATAATCGATCGTTAACGCTTCGCCACGGGAACGTAACTTCATTCCAAGGTTACAAAACTGACTCCGGCCAATTTTTTTCCTTTTTTTTTTATCCACGAAAAAGTACCTGTGTCATTTTTGTCATGATTTTTCTTGTTTTTTTGTGAGACATCTAAAGAATAATCAGTGAAATTTTCAGTTAGAAACGCCTTCAAGATTCTCCTGGTGAAAGTGCTATGTGCGAGCGGGAATTTGGTAACATTGAAATGCAAGTAAGTACACTCGTGG